TGTGTGAGAAATGCCATAGCCTAGAATGTTGGCTGCTATAGTGGAGCAAAGTTGTTTCTATAGCCGTAGAGCTCAAACTTGGTTAATTAAACAGTTACATTTGTACGTCAATACAAAGTACTATCGAGTAATGTGGAGAGGTGACTTAACAACAAAGGATAACTTTAGTAATACGCAAGGCGGGATCAACTCACACTTGAAAGGCCCGCATGAGTTGACTTCAATTCGTAGTAATGATGTTGATCAGTCCCTTATGGATGCACCATGCATTGCACTCTGTTAAGCATCGCAAAAACTTTTCTATGCATATTTGGCTCATAGGTCCGTTTTCTTGTCCTCCAAGACCGGTATGGGTGCAGATCTCTCGACCTCATTAGGTCGGATGGCAAGGTTTTCCGAGGCGCAGGATCGAATCAACGACCGCGTCAATTGTGGAGCACTGATAACAGCTGCTTAGACGTTATCGTCATACTACTGAGAATACCTCACTTTTTTCACATGACAAGCCTTCACATTTACTGTGCGGATCCCAACACTTCTTGCATTCGATTCGTTTCCTCGCATCGATTACCCACGAGTCATCGAATCATTTACATGTGGGTCTGAATGCTACTTAAGTATTTCCTTCTTCGTCATGAATGTCGTTGAATGCAGGTCGAGTCGATTCGCTCTCGAGTCTTAGGATAGCAGTGATAGAGCATTCTCACGTGAATTGGAGAAGAAGTGGGCTAATCCCAGACAAGTATGGTAACCATTTCTCAACCTCGAGGGATAAGAGGCTTGGTGACTTCAGTACGAGGTTATATCACGGTACCTATTGACACGGACTGTTGATCCATTACGGATAGTATGTGAATACAAACCAATACAAACCGCTATAAGTATTAACAACGTTACCTTCATTGAAATTTTACACAATGTATTGCACAGAGTACCACACGTGTAGCCCAGGGGTGGGAGGCGTCCTGCAACACACACATGGAATCGACCCGTGCCCATGGCCCACCAATCCTTCCATCCATCTGGAGTCTGCATATTGGTACCAGACTTGTCTGGGAGGATAGCAGTACTGGCTCGATACATCGGTAGGCCACCGCGAATAATTGTAAGAACCAGATATGCATTCAATCACCTCCGAACGATGCTTAATGAAGTCGAATGCATGGCGCATCCCTCTGAGATTGATCAACGCCGAGAGCTTTATGCTTTATTTGTACCACACCATCACGCTGTAATCGTTATATTAGCGACTATGGGAACTGGTGTTGACTTACCGTCTGCTGTACGTAAGCATTTCAATTCAATGGAAACAAACGTCCGACAACGATTCAGTTTTCTTCAAGAAATTGTTCTCGTCAAAGCACTTTCAATGATAAGAAAAATAAACTTATCAAGCCCATCGTTTAGTAGTGAAGAAAAAGGATAGGAAGGAGCATTTAAACCTTGGGAGGTACATGAGTTTGGAGCTGTTTTCGTTGTTTTATTTCTAGGCGTTTATTCTCAGTCTAAATGCTAATTTCTCAGAGGAGGAAGTGGAGGATTTATAAAGATGAATGTAAAGTAGAAGATTTAAGGAAAGTGCGCTAGGAACAAATTCGACAAAGCAGATTTGTTAACGAAGTCCTTGCACAACACAAAGAGGAAATCAATCTTTGGTTCAGAATAAAAACGTTCGACATAATATAGGAACTGTTACTAAAAGTTGTACAAGAGAATGAAATTACAAATAGGACATGCATTCCTTCATTGATAAGCTAACCCGAGTTTGACAAAGAACTTTATTCGGCTAACTCTTCGACGTTTTCATCTTCATCAGAACCAATGATCCGCGTCGATGTCCACAGTCCTTCGTCTTCACCGTAGCATCGAGTTACACTTTCTTGAGTGAAGCACCTTTCGGATGAGATATTGAAATATTGTTGCGTTCTGCACTAAGAAGTCGGACATTAATTTCTGGGCAACCGGAAACTAACAAAAATAATGCGAGGTGAAGCGACATCAGTTTTATAGCAAGCAAATCCGGCTTTAATAGTAGTTCAGGAGTTATTCCTCATCACTGGTGAATAACGGAGTCCTCTTTCCGTCTGGCCTTAATTAATTCGTAACAGATCAGTTCGAAGCGACAAAATATCACCTCCATTGTCAATCGAGTCTAAAAACTATTCTATATTATTATGTATACCCGGACCAAACCTAGACTAAGAATACATTGATTATACTGGAAAATTCGTAGCTAAAACACTGTGGTTGTTGATGTGTTGAAGACATTGATTAGCACTGAAAACACTAATTTATCACAGTGTAGAAGTTCCTATTTACTTCCTATTATTTTTCCATGGCAGAGTATTATGTGAAATTCAACTATAATGATGCTGAGATATTTGCAAAAGTAGGAACCTAAGCCAGATTCGAATACATGATCACTCTTCCCGTGGCCTCACTTGTTGCCCACTGCACCACGGATGCTCTTGCGTTGCCTTTCTCTCAGTCAGTTTCCCGGATCAGAATCGTTTCTCGGCAAAAGTTTCTCAGAATCTCGTCTGGGATATGAGTTTTACAAAAATCACAGCAACATTGTGGTTATATTTTACACTAGTTTGTGTTCGCTCCAGCAATGAGTTTGCTTACCTTCATAAACTTCGGTAATATATATCGTCTTTATGACTAATACGAGCAACTGTGGCACAGTGGTTAGGAGTGCCTGAATACACACGTGGTTATTAGTTCAATCCTGCGCTTGGGACGAATTGTATGGCAGTGCAAAGGCTAGGTATGGTTTCAGTCACCTCTACGAGGTATTATGGAGTCGATTGCATTGTGTATCTCTTAGGCATTGCTCAATACCGAACGTTTTGCCCTTTTATCCTTCATTACCTCTATCTCTTGTAATCTAGTGATTCAGCGAGTAATTTGAGCGAGCCCAAATAAAGTCTCGATTTACACACATCAGCTGTGGGTATGGCGTATGAGGCTCAGCTCCATCGAATGACAAGTACATGTATCACACGTTTGGTGATATCCATTTCTCAGAACCGTTCTTGGCAAAGAAAGCATTCACAAGTAGCCAAGCTGGCGCTACCTTAACCTCGCTATTATGAAATAGGCTTTCGGATGATAATGTCAAACTCGTCCTCAGTCTGGGTGACTCTGAATGGGGGTGAATTGCCCCCTACGCAATGCATCCGGACACATGTGCACACGGGATCAAGCAGCAACATCGATGATACGACATACCATTTTGGTAAATGTCTAAATGTCTCTTATACACATTTCTGTCTTAATATAGAACCATTTATGATATTATATTACTACCCTGGGAGTGTTTTCAGGAAGCTTTCCTAACCTACGGAAGGTGTAGATTGTCACTCTGCTACAATACTACGATGAATGTTTAGCCGGTACTTTAGTACTTTCCTGAAACTCGTAATTATAAATGCTCCTGTCTGAAAGCTTCCAGGAAAATAATTCTATTCGCATTGACAGCAAGCTACGTTGTAATACTCCCACGTGGTTTTGGTCGCCCATCGACACGCCGACTCCTCTCATTCGCCATCTGCTTATCCAACACAACCATGGTATGTTTTTCACAAGAACATTTAACAATAAGATACAGAAATATACTAATCTAAAGAGATAGTGCGTATATTTTTCAATTCATAGGTGTGTTATGTACTCAACGACTCCTTTTCTTGAAAAATCGACAGATCGTTCTTGTTTGGACCTGTACGACCATTAGCCCTATCATTAGCCTTAGTAGAACAAAACGGCGCAATCCAGACCCAGTTAAGTTGACTTGCGATTGATGAACACCATTCCAACGATTCTGAAGTCCAGAAGGGTTGTCCAATACGAAGCTTCATCTAAAAAGTTTAATTGCTGAGAAAGAAAACGACGCATTTATAAAAGCTTAATTCATTTTAGATCAGACGTTAGGAAATAGCTGAGTTAAATGTGATGCACAATCCCAACGTCATACCCAATCGAAATCCTATAATAAAGATTTCTTATGTAATAGAACTGTTTAAAACGAGTGTAGAAGAATATGTCAGCTTTTTAAGAGCTTTCGAAACTAACGGTACGACATGAAATGAGATTTTCTCGAAAAATTTCGACCATTCCTTGACGAAGGGATTTCTTTTTGGTTTCATTACCTTCCTATCGAAGGTATTCTCTGCCACAATAGTTATCATATCGTGTTATTTTCAATCTTCCTCAAATCTTTTCCTTTCGTCCAAGCGTGATCGAAAATTTCCGAGGTGGTCGGTGTCGTGGTGGGTGCTCAGTGGCGGTGTAATGTAGATGCCCTAACACCAAGCATTCAGTGTAATACTACGCAAAGACGAAGTCCATCTAAAATCGATACATATATATGTGCATATATACATATACAACTATATATAGCCATCTATGTCTATACCCCTTGTTAATATAATCCTATTAGAACCTGCAATCCTGGGTTACTTCAAAGAAAATTGATGTTTTGTTTTCAGGCGCTTAACAACGAAATGTTTTTTCTTAACATCCTTAAATAGGTCACTTATTCAAGTTTGGATACTTGGATAGCCTGTCTTCGTTGACTGTGTGGGCTTCAGCATAATTTCCATTCGAAAAGTTGCTAGTTTAGCCCCAGCATAATTTCTATTCTCCGGAGATTTGTTGGCTCAAATCAGTTACAAAAATAAATGTAAAAAACACAGCTTGCTTATCATGAAGGAGAATTTCGGTGTTTCAACGAACATACAAATAGATCGTAAATCCTCCTCCTGCAGTAGAGTGTTAGAATAGTTGCCTATTCTAGTGAGTACTGGAAATCGTGAGGGTGGTCTTCAGGAATTTTTGAAGCGTTTAGGTTGGGTACAAGAAGAAGTAGAAGATGATGAGAAATATATAACGGAATTTATGTAAGGACTGAAGAACTCTCAATAAGTACTTTTTAACAAAGAAAGCTCATGACGGGCAGATTTGCTTAAATTTTCTGTTTGATACTTTAAGTTACCTGCTTGCAGGCTGAAGATATTGAAGAGATTCTCGCTGAGATTGATGGGGAACAAATTGAGGGTGAGTCACGACAGAAAGTTCACAAAGCCTAAAACAGCACTGTACAGCAAATTTACTGTATATTAAATATAAGTACTTTGTATGTATTGCACTCTACAATAAGCACAAGCATTTGTATAAGGGGGGCGTGTGGCGCAGTGGTCGGAGGCGCCCTGCAATACACAAGCGAAATCGATCCCTGCGCTCATGAACCACCAAGTCTTCCATAGCTCCGGGGTCGGCAAATTGGTGCCAGACTTGTCTGGGAGGAGAGCAGCACTGGCTCGATACATCGGTAGGCCGAGGCGAGTCACCTCCAAACGATGCTTAATGAAGTCGAATGCATGGCTCATCCATCAGGGTCATGATCAACGCCGAGATCCTTTTTTCTAAGCTTTATTTGTATAAATAGTACTCATGTGTCCTAAGAACTGTAAACGCAACTATTATGTTAAAAGAAACTGTTTACTGAAGTTATATGGGGTAATGAGAAGAACTAAAATTCAAATTTACATTGCTATCTTCAGAATATCAGAAGTTCTTCGATGATTTTGATCGCGGAAAGCAGGGATATATTATGGCTACTCAGATCGGTCAGATTATGCGCGCCATGGAACAGGACTTTGATGAGAAGGTACTGAAATGTACTGGTTTTACAAGAACCGGGAGTGTGCGTTCCTGGGATAATCCCGGATTTAGTGAAGAACCAAACAAGGCAAAAACCTCTTTATGAATAAGAAAGTAACAAAAACCATTGACTGAAAAACAGATATCGGCAAATGGAAACAACTTTGCTTAACTGATGATAGGTGAGAATTTGATTCTAGGCAGAAAGTTTTTACCAAATTTTGGAGACAGCTGTGAACAATTCTCGATAATTCCTGCACTACACGTATCTTTTCACTGTGGATTATAGAATTAATGGAGTGGAGCGCCAGTAAACTCTCCCTTTAAACCCGTCGCATCACAGGGTATGAGTCCTTTTAAGAATACAAAGCGCGTGGTAGTTATGTTAAAGACCTTCGTGAAGAGTCCAGATCTTTAAAACGTTTACTCGCAACAGTATTCCCGATCATCTCAGCTGTATTTCTATCACCTTGCAAAGAAAAAAAAGCCTTAGAACAAACACAGTGCTTTCATTTAGGGCTTAGGAACGACGTAGGTGAAATGTGTCCTTACACAGTCAGCTGATTGCTGACGTAAGAAAGGACAAGACTTGGTATTTTATTGGCTTTCCGATTATCCAGAACACATTCCCAGTAATCAATACTGAATAAAGGCTCAATAGTTATTCGTAGCACCACAGATGTTTATAAAAATGATAAAACAATGAGAAACGTTTATGAGTCCAATCGATGGTTGGAGGTCCTCGAAATGATAGACAAGCATTTTTATCACCAGTCACGCGCCAGTAACAGATGGCAGCTGATATTTTTTGTCCCTGTTCCAGACACTTCGTAAGTTGATTCGAAAATTTGACGCTGACGGTTCGGGAAAGTTGGAATTCGATGAGTTCTGTGCCTTGGTGTATACGGTCGCCAACACTGTTGACAAGGACACACTACAGAAAGAGCTGCGAGATGCGTTCCGTCTTTTCGACAAGGAGGTCCGTTAAGTGTGTTAGAGTGAAATTTTCCGTTGAAAGGTAGTATTTTACAGAAAGAAGTAAGAAATTAGTGCGAAATTATTGATGAATCGTGCTTTGAACTGGCAGTGGTGTAGAGATCGGTCGACAACGAGTACAGCGGCAGTTGCCATGAGAAACATAAGTATCGATTAATAAGACTTTCATAGATTCCTACTTTGTTGTGCATGCCATACTCTTATCCATTTCTCTTACGAAGTTAAAACTGTTTGTTCAAACTTGTAAGCGCGGTCTTTAAACTGACAAAAGAAAAAGGGTAAATTAGTTCTCAATTCTCTCAATTCTAAATGTATGAAGTTCTTTGAAAAAGGATAGTCGTGTGTTCGAAACGCTGAATACGATATGGAAGAAAGATTCAATGGGTATTACGTGTTCATATCTTTAGCGAAAATCCACTCGCTGTTTTTTAAAAGCTTACACCCTAAATATAGCCCTTTTAAAACCGACAATGAACAACAAAACATCTACTTTTTAGGGTAATGGATACATCTCACGACCGACACTGAAGGCTCTCTTGAAGGAGATCGCTGACGATCTAACTGATCAACAACTTGAAGAGGCCGTAGACGAAATCGACGAAGACGGTTCAGGAAAGATCGAATTTGAGGGTACGTAAGTTTAGTTATGTTTTTAATTCGCTGAATGTTATCATTGGTGAAGGTGACCAGTGCCATCGATTAATCACAATTGTTCACCAGGAATCAGTCTGTTCTCTTGCATAACTGCAATCATAAGCTTAAAGAACGCCGTTAGCCATCAGTTAAAGTCAAGAAAAGGCCACAGAATCCAAGCTGTGAAGGTACAACACCCAATGATGAAGTTAGAAGAGGAATTATAGTTGTGCACCAAGCGCCTTTTCTTCACGGTACCTGTTGATAGTGCTGCCAGTTAATGTTATAGGAATCCACAAATGATTATGCAGGATGTAAAGCAATAGGTGTTATCGATAACTCGCAAACAACACGATCAAATAAGTCCTTTCTCATCGAACTGATAAGCTGAGAGAAATGCAAAACAAGGGACTCAGTGGCGCAATGGATAATATGTGAGACTTTGGAAAAGGGTAGTCGTCTGTTCGAATCTGGACTAGGTTGTTAGTTTTGCAAATGTCTCAGCATCATTGCGGTAGTATTTTACACAATACCCTGTTGCCATAAAAAATAATAGGCAGCGGACAAAATAGTTATACCTTGTGATTTTGACGAGGGTCTCAGCTTAACTGGGTTCAATGCCGATTTGTGCTCTCCAGATAATCCCCGTTCACGGATGATTGCTCATGGCGCAGGGGGGGTAAAAAACTGGCTAATAGAAAGCAAAACGCGGTCCTCAGTCCTGAAAGTAGTAACAGATGACACTTTCGTAAGTAAAATCGTGGGTTCGAATCTGGACTTGGGCCCAGGTTTTGCACATATCTCAGCATCGTTGTGGGCGTAAGTTTTTTTTTTTCAGAATTTTGGGAATTGATGGCAGGCGAGTCGGACTGAACACGAGGTATAAATATGCTTTCGACAATCGTTTGTGAGCTTTACGATTTTGATCTACTCAATAGATTCTGTCGTGTGCTTGAGTAGTCCTGGAATGTATTTGTTCCTTATTTCAGTTTCGCCTAGAATCCAGTGTCAGTCGCTTCATAAAATTATTGTCTCGTTTCTTTCATCGATAACAAATTTTATTCGATACAAAATAAACTTTTTTCGAGATTGTTTACAAAAGGAGTAGTTACGTATCGCTGTATACCATTTGTAATGAAGCGACTATAAGGGAAACGAAAACAAACAACTGAAGTTTGAGTCAAAAATGTCAGTTGTCGGGTGTGACGGCCTGGTTCGGTTCAAGTCTTCTAAATCGTGTCAGGTCAAGCGCTATCAAAGGAAATGAGAAAATAACACTTCAAAAGCAGATGAAGCCGGTGCGTGAGGACGTAAATGAATGGAGAAGCTGATAGAATTTTGGGTTTAAATAAGCTCTGTGATGAACGTCACACGAGCGCATATTGACGAGATCGCCTTAGAACAGATATTGATTCTCCTGTTGAGCACATCGAGCACACCTTAGTCTATATCATGAATAAAGGCCGCCATTAAAAGAAAAAAAATAAGTGAGCAATAAACTGGTTTTAACCGATCATTCCTAGAAGCTTTTGCTTTCAATACAGAACTCGACCGCCGCCGTTGTCGATTGTGATTGCTGCCCTCGTTATGATCATTTCCATCTGTGGCCTGAAAGAGAAACCAGACTCTTAAATTGGAGCTGACAACATTGAAGAAAGTGGTGCAAACAGAATCACCGCTTTCTATGCGATAAGGATAGTCCAGACCTAGCCAGTGCTTAACTACAAGGACGGTGACTACTGGATTAACAGACAATTTCGGATTTCTGCTGCCGGAAGTGAATCAGGTTAAAGAATAGGGTTCGATTTGAAACTCACGAACTCACTATTTCGTTAAGGAAAAGTTAACGACGAACTGAAGTAACTTCATCATAATGAACTACAACAAGCATGTAGCTTACCCTCACGAATTTCCATGAATTTATCATCCAGCCTAAGAGAAGCGCTAAATAACTCCAACAATGCGTAAATTAAGGTTGAAATTTCAAAGATGACTGAGTCAACTCAGTGTTTTTCGGTGGCAAAACGTTCCTACTACGTAAAAATTGGTGACGTTGGGAAAAAGATAAACTCAGATGATTGCTGAGGGTTTGAAAAGGCCCCTAGAGGATAGGCATAGGTGGGATACAAAAGATATCATAACAACTGCTAGTGTTCATCCTGATTCCGTATTTTATCCTTCCCCAGATCTATTTGGTAAATATAATTTATAACCATAAAAAATATAAAATGTTCAAAAAGATCTTAAGATTACAATTGAGTCGTGCAGTTCTAGTGAATTTATCCTCTTCAAAATCGTGCAGTCATCGCAGATCTTCGGCACTTGGATGAAGTTCTAAAGGTGACTGGAAAATCATTCAAACATCAAAATTTAAAGGTGGTGGTACACTGAAAAAATCGCATTATCTTAATGGAGACAAGGCAGTCGCATAGCCAACATAATTTCTTATCAGTAACCAGGAAAGCACTCGACAAAAGGTATACCGTTATGACGTGACCAGAAGCATTTCTGGGTGCCCCGCTATGACGTACAGAGAGTTTCTTTCCATCAAGCTCACTCAAACTGTGAATGAGTTCATCTTCGGCTAAAAGTCCAACTAGGAGTAAATCTGGAGTAAATCAGCGCCTTGCGGGCTACCTACGTGCGTCACACGAAAATTGTGATCCCCACTGAACAGCTGCTAGCCCTATAGAAACGAATGGAGACTGAATTGGCGCTCGTTCTAGTCCATTACTAGAGAGATTAAAGGTGACATAGGTGACAACACTTATTAGAGTGCATTAAGTGACAATAAAACTATAATGCATTAGGTGAACATTCTATGAGAAGAATCAGGAGCGTTTGACGGGAGAAACATGGCACAACAGAATGCGCCTTGCAAAAGCAGAATAGTCGAGCAATATATGCTAGAATGGTGAATGGTGGTAGAAGAAGTGAATGGAAGATCGTGTGGTATAATCGCTCATTTTGAGAAGTTCGACATTCTCATTCAGAAGCGCAGTTGAATGTAATTCTATTATGCAGCAAAGCCTGGTAAACTGATAGCATACGAAAGATGCAAAGAATACGACACTCTTCCTAACAACTGAGAGAAAGCGGCGCATTGGCAAAGCACTGGCCTTAGGGCTAGTTAAAGACCTTATTTGGGTGCCCAGCCCATTTGCTCTGAATTGACGAAAGTCAAGGTGAAGCAACCCATTTTTCTCATGTATCCTCTCGAATCTCTATGGCGGTCCAGAGCTTAAGCGAAACTCCGTACACCAGAAATATGAGTTGTGGTGTCCATTTAACTCACCTTTATGGAACTTTCTGTGGGAATTTGGCTCGTGATACTAAAATAAATTGTATCCGACTCGTTTTCACATTCTTCTGGTATTGCCTCAAGATTTATTGCCGTTCATAGCATTTCTTCACGACTTCCGCCGTCGTTAAGTCATAAGTCATCAACCCCATTCCTTGCATCTTACGATTGTGCTTTAATCATCTCCTCTTTCTCTTTGTGAATAATTAAGTTACATACAGCGCATATTGTGATATGTGTTTTTTTTCCATGGTTTCGCTATGTATCTTAACTAGTCCTATCGATTAGTGTCATCAGCAGTCACGGGTCAACGAGAATGATCTGAAGAGCCCACATTCGCACTGAACACTATTAAACTATGGCTGTAGTTTTTTTGTAGTTTTGTAGTTTTTTCTATTTCGCATCATAGCCTGAGGGAAAAAATTACACTAGGCAGCAAATAAAAGTTGGCACTTTAGACATCGTTCTCCACTCACTTCTTGAGGTCATCAGTAGCATCATATTCAGTGCTATCGCTCTATCAGGGAGAAAAGCAGGAACATCGAAATGTGGCAATTAGATAACGAAAACTTGTCACTCCTTGAGGGAAATTAAACCAAGAAGTTTTGGTGACGCTAGTTTTCTTAGATATCCATTTGTTACTCATAACGTCGCCTTGTATCAGATCCTACCACCTTGCTTGGCTAATCTTTGTCTCCAAACGCCAAAAAAGTCGGCAAGGGAGTATCACCAACTGCTACTTACCAGCTTGTGTAGCTGATGAGGCGGTTCCAGATACATCCCATAGTCAGATGGAGGAGCTTATCCGCAACAAGAAATCTGTTCACGAAATTGTCCATGGAGATTTCAAAGAAGAAACAGAAAAGCTCGAAGAAAATGTACAAAAACGTGAAAATTTGGAATAGGAGCTCGAACAGAGAGGAAACCGTTTTGCAACACTTCAGTTGACAGTTTGTCTCTTCCGTAGTAATTCGTTTTTCGAGAGTACAGCTAATCGCCGACATATATGGCAGTCTCCCAACAACACGGCTAATACCTACTCGATCATATCCTCACGAACAGAAAGTGGTGCCCAAAAACGAAGAACTGGAGTAGTCAGAATCTGCGCGATTATAGTGTGCTACTATATCCAGGAGAGTATACATCGATGGTAATCACAGATGTGCAGGCCGTATAATAATAGAAGCAAGTGGTTAAAAAACTGCGGAAGTGGACTGTATGAGGATGAAAGTGTCCTCTTACACCTCACATGATGACATGATATGACGAAATGTACATGGATCACGTCAAACATTTGCATTTGCATGGCGAATTCCGTGCCTGGAACACGGATTACGCCTTGTGAACGTTGCCATCTTCGAGGGAGATCACCACCATGCGCGATGATTGTGCGATGGAAAGATGAATGGAAAAGTGTTGAGGTTCGCAGTAGTGGTGAAGACAATCCACCCATGTATCCAACTAAGTGTGTACGTAGATATCCAGATACGCGATAAGTGATGATCTTAAAGAGGGAAGAGCAGTAGTTATGGCCGAAACTGCAAAAGCTGGGAAAAGCATTTACAAAGCTCACCGAAGCTTCTCCAATTACAAGACCAATATGATTGAACTTTGACGCCCAAACGGAGCATTTACAGCGTCCAGGAAGACAACGGAGAAAATCACTCGCGAATAGTATTCAGATCGCTTCGATAGCCACGCCCC